CCCCAACAGGCTGAGGAGCTTGAGCAGAGCCTTTGCATTCAGGGAGGAGATGAGAATCTCTCCTCCACCAGAGATCAAAGCCATGTCTCCAGGGCTTCCAGCTGCCCTGTTGCACCAGGCTCTTCTCTTGGCTTGCTCCCACAAGCAGGTTCAACCCCTCCAAGCTCTGCAGGTTTCAGGCATGGATTCTCCCTCCTCCCCCACTCTCTGCCCAAACAACTCCTCACTTAAGTAGTAATCAACCAGTTTTCCCTCAGCCTCAAACCTCCAGGCTTCAAACCTAAGCTGGAGATCAGATTTTTTCACCCCACCCGTGATGGGACTTGGAGTTGTGGTTGATGTTTCGAGCTCCTTGGAGTGGGAAATCCTTAGCAATGTCCTCCTGCCCTGGATGCAGCAGCAGAAACGAAGCCCCAAGAGTTAATTGCTTCTCTCTTCACCATGCAAATCCCCGTGGGTGATGAAAGAGTCGCGTTGGCGGGCGCCGTTCCCTGGCTGGTGGTGGATCCGTTGTGTCTTGGCCCTAGGTGCGATTCCTGGAGCAGCAGAACAAGGTCCTGTCCACCAAGTGGGAACTGCTGCAGCAACAAGGGCCACAAGGGCCGAAGAAGAACCTGGATGTGATCTTTGAGAACTACATCCAGAACCTGCGGAGGAGGTTGGAGACTCTGCTGGGGCAGAGGGGACAGCTGGAGTCAGAGCTGCAGAACATGCAGCAATACGTGGAGGATTACAAAACCAAGTAGGTGTCACCACCCTCAGAGCAGCTCTTGGGTCACTTTTCCTCCCCCCCCAAATGCCTTTTATGGTGATTGTGGAGATGTTTTTCCAGGCTGAAGGTTTTATTCCAGGGTTTTTTTTTCCCCCCTCTTTTAGCTTGTTTCTTGGGCAGGAAAAACCAGGAATTCAACTTGTGCTTTCCTCCTCCCTAGGTATGAGGAAGAGATCAACAGGAGAACCTCAGCCGAGAATGAGTTCGTGGTGCTGAAGAAGGTGAGTCCCAGGCACCAAAGAGGGATTGGAGCAGCTGCAGCTTCACCTCTGCTTGGGGAGGCCCTTGACTGAGAATTTGGGGAGATTTTTGGGATCCGTGGGCTGAGGTTTGAGGTCCTTTGGCTTGAACTTGCATCATTGATTGTCACCATGAAATCTCATCCAAGCAAACAGCACCAAACCCTCAGCACAGACTGTGATTCCCAATGTCCTCAGGGATTCCTGAGGGGAAACAAAACCTCTTTCTCTGGGATCTTTCCCTTAGGACGTGGACACTGCCTACATGACCAAGGTTGAGCTGGAAGCCAAGGTGGGAGCTCTGACCGATGAGATCAACTTCCTGAGGTGCATTTATGAGGAGGTAAGAGCTCTCCTTCCCCTGGGGGAAGTTACCATGGGGAGAGGTTGGACTGGGTGTCCACATGGATCTGATCTGGAGAAGCTTCTTGGAGCTGCTGCTGTTCTCTCCCCTCCTCAGATGGTTCCCCTAACCCGTGGTTTGGTTGCAGGAGCTGTCTCAGATGCAGACCATCAGCAGGGACCTGTCTGTGGTGGTGTCCATGGACAACAACAGGCACCTGGACCTGGAGAGCATCATCGAGGAGGTCAGACGACAGTACGAGCAGATCGCCCAGAGCAGCAGAGCTGAGGCCGAGGCCTGGTACCAGAGCCAGGTGAGTCCCAAGGGGCAAATGAGGCCCTTGGGTAATTAGCAGTCATTTATGAGAAGGTGAGACACCTCCTCAAGCTAACGGTGCTGAGCTGGTGGGGCAAGCAAGTCTCCAGAGCAGTTGAGTTGCTCTTCAGGGATGTGACTCACCGTTCCCACGCTGTTCCCACTCTCTCCTTGGGGCACAAACCTCTCCAGAAAAATGGCCCCAAACGCACCTGGGCTAGAAAATTCCAGCCCCAAGTGGCTTTTCAGAAGCCCAAAGATGCTTCTTAGTGTCACAAAGATCCATCTCAAAGCTTCAACACAATGACTGAGTCCCAGAACCACCTGAGCATCCATGAGCAGCTTGGTGGGTCCTCCCAGCATCACCTGAGCCACCAAACTGGTGTCAAACCTCCTCTGGGCATCAGGAGTGTTTCACTGATGGGTTGTTTGGTCTCGGGGTCTGCAGTATGAGCAGCTGCAGAGCACAGCAGGACGACACGGGGACAACCTCCGCAACACCAAGATGGAGATCCAGGAGCTGTCCAGGAACATCCAGAGGCTGAGGGCGGAGATTGAGAACGTGAAGAAACAGGTAAGGGTTGGTTGGTGGCTCAGGGATGGGATGGAGAAGGTGATGGAGCAGGTTGGGGTTGGTTAGTGTCTCAGGGATGGGATGGAGAAGGTGATGGAGGAGGTTGGGGTTGGTTGGTGTCTCAGGGATGGGATGGAGAAGGTGATGGAGGAGGTTGGGGTTGGTTGGTGTCTCAGGGATGAGATGGAGAAGGTGATGGAACAAGTTGGTCGATGTCTTGAGGATGACATCAAGGCCATGAAGAAGCAGGTAGAGGTTGGTTGATGTCTCAGGGGGTGATAGCAACAGGTTGGATCATGAATGATGACGAGTGGTGCAGAAATCTTCACTCCCTCCATGTTTACTTCCCAGAGATGTTCCTTTCCCTCTTAATTTCTCCACTTGGGGTCTGAGGGCTGATCCTGAGTGACCAAGTGAGGCCTGAGGAACCTCTCTGGTGTCTTCTCCAGAACCAGCACCTGCAGTCAGCCATCGCTGAGGCCGAGGAGAGGGGCGAGATGGCCCTGAAGGATGCCAGGATAAAGCTGGAGGAGCTGGAGGGTGCCCTGAGCAAGGACAAGGAGGAGCTGGCTCGGCTGCTGAAGGAGTACCAGGAGCTGCTGAACATCAAGATCGCGCTGGACGTGGAGATTGCCATGTACAGTACAGGAAGCGAGGGAGAGGAGACCAGGTGAGGGCCTGAGCTCTGACTGGACACGTGGAGTATGGACTGGGCAATCCCAGACCAGTTGGGTTAGGAGAGGTCAGGGTTGGGATTGATGCTCTGGGAGATGTTTTGGGGGATTGGGACCAGAACTGGATCACTGCAGGTGATGGAGCTTCGTCATTGCCGTTGTCCCGTGGGCAGTGGTAGGAGAGCAGGAGAACCTGGAGGTGGATGTTGGGCAATCACCTCTCTCTGGCATGGGGAGTGTTGGGTTGGTGCTCTGGGGGATGTTCTGAGGGCTCAGGACCAGAACTGGATCACTACAGGTGATGGAACTTCATCACTGCCATTTCATGAACCTCCAGCCTGGAGGAACCTCCTCCTAAAGAGGAATTCCCAATCCCTTCCCTGCTGAAATCCTGGTGGGATTCCAAAGTGGCCTCCAGGGGTGAAGCAGGAGAATGACTCGATAACAACAGAGTTGTAAGTTTTAACGAGGTCTCGTTGATTGGGTCATTAATCTGTGCCAATTTACCCCTCAGGCTCTGCAACGACAGCATGTCCAACGTCAACGTCTGTGAGTATCTGGGGCCTTCCCGGGGGGTCAGACATGGTCTTTGGGGGACAGAGCCCTAGGGGATGTAACCTGCTCTTCTCTTCCAGCCGTGGTAGGCAGGACCACCATCTCTGGAGGACGAGGAGGAATGGGAGGAGGATTTGGCAGCGGAATGGGAGGAGGAGGATTCGGCGTTGGCAGCATGGGAGGAGGATTCGGCGGCGGCAGCGGC